CCTTGTGGCCTTGGGGAATACGAATCCCCAACCCCTCCCCCCCCCGAAGAAAAATACAACCTGCCTGCCGGATCGCGACCGATCTGTGCAGATGCATCGTTTGCTCAACTTCGAATATATCCTCCCTCCCGCGCGCAGAGCTCATTCCAAAACCCCGGTTTTTTTTTTTCTTTTTCTTTTTTTTTTTTCCTTTCTTTCCACCCCCCCCCAAAAAAACCTCTTGTTTACAGGAACATGGCAAATCCATATGATCGTCCTTGCGGGGGGCATCTGTGAAAATTGGAGCGATACAGAGAAGAGGATTAGCGTGGCCGCTGCGCAACAAAAAAAAATCCATATGATCTCGTCTCCTCAACCTCGCCGCCGCGCACCTTATTCTACATCTTGATTGGGAAAAAAAAAAAAAAAGCAGTTCTTCCTGTCGGGGCCACCCTAAATCTTGACGATGATAGCCTGCGGCTGTCGCCCTTCACACACACACAAAAAAAAGTGAAGAAAAAAGAAAGGAAAAAGCATTTCATCCTCTTCTGACGATCCCAGCATTCCTTCCCGCTACCGCCTCCCTCGTTTTTTTTATGTCCCACGCCCTCCTCCTCCTCCTCCTCCTCCTCCTCCTCCTCAATCTCTTCCTCCTCCTCCTCCTCCTCCTCCTCCTCAATCTCTTCCTCCTCCTCCTCCTCCTCAATCTCTTCCTCCTCCTCCTCCTCCTCAATCTCTTCCTCCTTGCCCTCCTCCTCCTCCTCCTCCTCCTACTACTACTACTACCACTACTACTACTACTACCGTTTTTTTTAAGTGTCCCACGCCCTCCTCCTCCTCCTCCTCCTCCTGCTCCTCCTCCTCCTCCTACTACTACTACGACTACTACCGTTTTTTTTTAGTGTCCCACGCCCTCCTCCTCCTCCTCCTCCTCCTCCCCCTCCTCCTCCTACTACTACTACTACTACTACTACTACTACTACTACTACTACTACTACTCCGACTAGTACCACTACTACTCCCACTCCTCCCGCTTCTCCTCCTCCTCCTCCCACTCCTCCCACTCCTACTACTAGTCCTCCCACTCCCCTTAAACCACCAGTCCCTTTTACCCTGGTCGCCAGGACACGTGGCCATTTTTCAATTGGTCCGTTGGATTGACGATTGGCGATCCCAAGGCTCCAGCCAGGGGTTTTGTTTATTTTTTTTTCTGTTTACGGGGGTTGGTTGGGCCCGACTTTTTTTTATTATTATTATATGTTGAACTGATCGATCAGAACAGATACTACACTTGATCTATTTTTAGCCTAAAGGCGGAATACTATAATTGATCTTAACCAAAAGGCGGGATGGTCCGATACATGTACGTACCTTGCTTACATCTTCCTGCTGTTTTTTTTCTCCTCCTCCTCCTCCTCCTCCTCCTGCTCCTGCTCCTCCTCCTCCTCCCTCGTTCTCCTCCTCCCTCATTCTCATCCTAGCTAGCTCTCGCTCTCCGTGACAGCAGCCCGAATGCCAGGTCGACAAGCAAGAAAGAAAGAACTTGTATTGTCTCCTCCTCCCCTTCCTCCTCCTCGTCGTCTCTCTCTCCGATCTCTATTCTCCTTGCACCTCTTCCTCTGTGACTCCCACTCCCCTCCCCTCTCCTCCCCCTCCACCGTCTCCTCCCCCCCTTTCCTTCAAATCAACCACCCCAACAACCCCCCTCTTTGCTGCGTCCCTTTCAATCCCGCCTCCTCCTCCTCCTCCTCCTCCGCCTCCTCCTCCCCCCTTGCTTTTCTTTTCCGCCCTCTGCTCCTCGGTTGGTCCGACTCCTGCATCTCTCACCCCTTTAACCAGTCAACCCCTCGACCCCCCCTGCCTGTCTGAAGTACTCCTATTATTTCCTCCCCTCCTATCAAGAGGTCAAGGCTTGCCTACCGTCTTCACCCGAATATAAAGGCCGGTCATTATAGCTGTATTTGGCACAACTTTCGGTGCAGATGCATCGATTATGAACGGGCGTTCTGTTCGGGTTAAGACGGTAGTCCGACGGATCACCCCCCTTGTTCGATAAGGAAACAAAATAATCATCAACGCACTCACACACACACACTCTCTCTCTCTCTCTCTCTCTCTCTCACACACACACACACACACACACACACACACACACACACACACACACACAC